CTTCGCAAATTTTACCCCTACCGAAACCAAAAAAACGAATTGATTTATGCAACAAGTAAGAAAGTCTAAGTTCGGGCGTGGCCGAACATTAAATACCCGGCGCAAGTATCACATATATGCCTTTTCACCTTTCCGAAAGCTACCGCTACATGGTAAGCCGGGGTGTATCAATTTTGAATAAATTAGCGTCCTTAAATTTCGAAATATTGACGTTTCGAGCATTTCTAAAATTTACCGTTATATGATAAGTGGTCGTAATTTTAATCTGATTCCAATAATTTTCAGCGGTTTGCTTCTATGTGGCAAGCACAATAATCATACCGAGTTTGGTACAAATTGGTAGAACGGTTGCCGAGATACATATATGTGATCATAAGATGGCGGTGCCACGCCCATTTTCCAAAATTTTATGATAAGCGTATTTCCTGATAAAGAATTGTTGCAAGCATCAATTTTGAATAAATTAGCTTCAATATTTACGGATTTATCGAAGATTTCGTATTTCTCCAAATTACCTTTATATGGGATGTGGGCGTGGTTAATGTCCGATTTTTAAAATTTTCGGCCATTTGGTATCCTGTACCAAGGCCAATAACTGTGCCAAGTTTCGAAGAAATCGGTGCAGCGGTTACCAAGATATACACATGTAACACTAAGTGGGCGTGGCTACGCCCATTTTTCAAAAATTTATAATATTCTTATTTTTTGTCTAAAAGTTATTGCATATATCAATTTTGAGTGAATAATCTTCAGTAGTTACTAAAATATCGCAGTTTTAGTATTTCTGAAAATTACCGTTATATGGGAGGTAGGCGTGGTTATTGTCCGATTTTGCCCATTTTCAATACCATCCGTCCTACGCCCGAAAGAAGTACACGTACCAAGTTTCGTTAAGATATCTTAATTTTTACTCGAGTTATCGTGTGCACAGACGGACAGACGGACGGACGGACGGACAGACAGTCGCCGCTTAATCGATTTCTCTTTTCATCCTGATCATTTATGTATACATTTGTCTATATCTATCTCGATTCGTTTTGCCTGTTACAAACAACCGTTATGTGAACAAAGTTATAATACCCTTGTGCACAAGTACGCTCGGGTATAAAAAAAAATCTACCAAACATTTTTTTGAGTTGTGCCTCTTTTGGCAGTGTGCGATGTATAAAATAACATCTTGGATTGGATTGCTGCTACAGCAACAATAACAGAAACAACTTAGATTAACAGCAAAATGTATACAGGGTGTCCCAGAAGTAACGTGCCAAACTTTAGGGGAAGGTAGGTGGGGGGGGGTGAGCTCCCTGATAAACAAAAAATTTTCAGGTAAAAGTGTCACCGTTTTTGAAATATTTACATTTTTTCGAATTTAAAAAAAAATCGTGCCTTTTCATGTGTTTTCTTTAACTGCAACTACAAACCGGGCAAAACTTAGTAAATTTTTTATGTAAAATACTTCCAGATAGTTGCCTCTCCATACTCAAATGCAATGTAGTTAAAATAAATTAAGGAACCATCATAAAATTAGGACTATTTCTGGATTTTTAACTTTTTGATATTTTCTTCCCCAACTTTGACTATCTCGGGTGAAAAAAAAATGTACTGAGCTATAACTTTACATTACATAAAAAAATTGCTCATTTAATAAAGATTTCAGAAAGGTGCCACACTTACTGTTTTGAATAGAAAAAAAAA